ATTTCACAAATATAGATTCTTTAAAATTAAATAGGTATATTAATATTTGCGTTGATAATTTTTTTATGAACAATATTTCTCGGAATATATTCTTAGATTCTCGCCTCCATGGAAATGTTTCTGAGAAAATATTTAATTTTGAATTATTAAGTAGGTGTGAAAAAAATTCACGCGATAGATTCTAAGTAGATAATTAGATGCTTAGCTGGTTCAAGATGGTATGATGGATGGATGGATGGACATTAACGTGATTAACTAGGGTTCTTGTCATATCTTAGTTAACTCAACGCTATCAATAAATGTTCATTACATTTTTTTAATGGGGAAGCCGTTAATAAACATGTGTGATCACTGTGGAATCTTCATCCAAAACAAAATGTTTGTATAAGAAATAGTAAAAATAATAAAATATGGTTTTACCCTTTTTAATACAAATGGTTAATTTTAAATAATATGTTTATTATTAAAAAAAAACGCATTGACATGTTATTGTCCAAAACATACAATATCAAATAAACTCCTACATGTAGGTTTGAAGAATGAGTAATAGGTTAAACTCTCACGGGTCTGGGAAAAACAATGAACGTTCGAATACACATTCTAAGGTTTAAGTTAGTTTGAAAAAAATAATATATATATATATATATATATATATATATATATATATATATATAATTAGATTAGTTCTATTTATAATATTTTTATTAAGATAATTTAGATAATTTTTACATGCTAATTATTGTCTTAATAATATGATTATTCATAATTGAACAAATTGGTATATTAAAATGTTTCAATGTGGTCCCAAATTTTTAAAAATTTTTAATTTAGACATGAATATTGAAATTGATGTCAATTTTTTACTCCGTTGTATTAGATGCTTAGTTGGAATATTAGTTCTGATGTGGTTAGGTGATTGATTATAGTTACGTGACAGATTTGTCATGTCACATTAAAATTGCAGAAAGAAAGAAATAGGACCGCAAATGTGTTTATGGTTTGAACAATTGAGAGCTTATGTAAATGGGTGAGAGAAAGTGAGAGGATCTGCAACGACGAAAAATGTAGGAGTTCCATTTGTGATGACATTGGGGGTTTAGGTTCCAATCGCTGTCGTGTGTGAGATTGAATGTGACGAAGAAGGAGGAGATTGATTCCATTTAGGATTTGCGACGACGACATCGAGGGAGTGAGTTGTTTCTGACGATGAGGAAAGAGGGACCTACAATGACGGTGAAGTCGAGCATGCGGGAGGGACTACCTGCGACGAAAGAACGGTAGTGACGAGAGAGGAGCGGTGATAAGTGACCATCGTCGCAAATGGAACTCGTATCTCTACGACAACATTGTAGATCATCACGTTTTCCCTAACCCATTTGCACAAATTCTCAATTGTTCATACCCTAAACACATCCACGACCCATATTCATTTCTTTTTGTAATTTTAATGTGACGTAACAAATCTGCCACGTAACTATAATCAATCACCTAACGACATCGAACTAATACTTCAATTAGACATCTAATATAACAGAGTTAAAACATAAATAATGATAATCCAAAATTGACATTAATTTTAATATTCATGATTAAATTAAAAATTTTAAAATTATATTAAAATATTAAAAAAAATAAAAGAATTAAATTACCTATTTAACTTTAAAATAAACAATGAATGTAAAAATTAGAATAAGTATAAATGCTCTTGGAAGAAAAGGATTTTCAGGAGACTTTATCGGACCTTTTCATTCCTTTTATATATTATGATTGTTCTGTCATACATTAATTAAGGGTTTTATATCATTCATTAATGTTTCACGCACAACTATCTCAAAACGAAAGTTAAAATCTTATAGGCTAAATAAAAGAAATTAATGGCGCAACTTGAGATATATTAGATCAATGGTCTAATGGATAATTTTGGCTTAATGGAAGAATTATTAATTTGTCTATACTAAAATAATTAATTAAAATAAAAATAAAAAATATATTTTTTAAATTTAAATTATAAAAAAATGAATTCATTCGTTATTAAAATAAGGTTAAAATTTTATTTTTCATTGTCATCATTTATTTTTTATTAATTAATTAATTTAAAATACTAATTAATTTTAATCATTAAGTTTTGAAATAAGTGATAGTTAGATGTTTATTTTGATATTTACTATTAGAATGAATAAATTTAGTCTTCTTTTTTAAAAGAAAAATGGATTTGAGATTATCTTACTAGAAGACTCCTTTTGAAGTCAAATTATTTTTGGTATTTCTCATTATATTAAGGGACTCCTTACAAATTAAAATCTTAGGTTGAATATTTGCTAACTTTCGATGCTAAATTGATCAGCTCGAAATTATATGTTTTTCGAAGAACTATCTCAATGATAATATTGAAAGGTGTGAACCTTATCTCATTGCATGTATCATCTCGTATAAATCTTTTGTTCGAACCATATTTATGGGTCAAACTAATTAAAAAAAAACCTTTTAGCCGGAAACAAAACCCTAATATCATTTTATTAACCAACATCTATCAAGTTGATTACCATAAATTTTTATTTTATTTTATTATGAGAATAATAATCCATAGATTCTTATATTTTATTAAATCACATTTGTCTCCATCGTTATATTTCACATGAGTCACATAATATAATGAATTAATTAAATTAATTCTAACATCTTCTTAATTTCTTCTTTTTCTAATTTCAATGTTCTTTTCCAGTTATAAGAACTTGGAAGCCCGAGTTTTGAGTTCCTATAATGTGTTCAAATAGTATATGTACAAACTATCCATAAATGATCATCATCTTAAACTTGCGATCATATAATGAATAATCACATTAAGGGATACATTATGAATTGTGGTACTTACCTTAATAAATCATTTCATAATTTCTTTTAAAGATTCATTCTGGTCTTGTCTTAGTCCCTAGAGAGTAAGAAAGGTAGGTTGATGTAGTCAATTGACCGCAATTTTAGTTCAAAACTTCTCAATCAATTTTTCAAATGATTTTATTGATCAATTATGTGGATCATAAAATAATTGAAGAGTTGTTTCTTTTACTGTCATTAATAAAATTCTACATAAGAAGATATTACTCTCACCAAAATATGCTGATTTAAATCAGATATGCTCATTTGGGTTTGTTCATCTTCCAAACCTTTATGTATTAAGGGATTTCCACCATATAGGTAAGGATTCCTCCAATATATATGGAGTAAAAGAACTTCGAAGCTTTTAACCTCAATTATCCTTGAGTATTAATTGATTGAGCCTACATCACGCTCGGACCAAGCTCAACCTGTTTCATGCTCGAGCCAGGTTCAACTTGATTAATCTTATAATAAAATTCCACTTCAGTGTAATTTTAAGATTCTTCTTCATAGATTGGTATCTCAAAAGAGTGTACATAGGAGAAATTTTACCAAAACATGTAATTGTCTTTCCAACTCTTAACTACATTGCCTAAAATCTTCATTTCTTCTTGGTGTTTCTTTTTTATTGATTCTCACTCTTCTCGTTTCTTATTTCATAGTTTGATAATGTTTATATAAATATTTGTCTCATTTTTCTATTGGATTTCTTCCATATAAAACTTTAGACTATTAATGATAAGGTTGACATCTATATTACCACTTGTTGAACTAGTTTCATTGAATGTTTGAAACATCAAAAAGTGCAATTTGGGATAAATTCATTAGGTTCACGCTTGGATGTCAAATGTTCTTATAAAAAAGTATAATATCAAATGAACTTAGATCGATTTGAACAATAAATAAACTAGAATTTACTAAATTAAATTGTGACTAATTAAAAAAAAATGAAAAGGTTCACCTATAAAGATATTTTATGGCTTAAATTAATATAAAAAAGAGAAGAAAAATCAAGATATTAAAATATATATGAAATAATAAATTAATCTTATTTATAAGACTCTTATTAATATATTTAAAATAATAAATTTTATCTGTTTCTAATAGTAATTATTATATTAATAATATGATTATATAGGTATTTGATTTATACATTATTATTATTATTACAATATACATTAAAAGAATTTAACTAAAAAAATTCGGTTTAACGTAATTAATAAAAAATTTGGGTAGATACACATCCAAAAAGTACTGCATTCCATCTTTTTAATCACGTGTGAATCTGTGGTTGAAAATTTTGAATTTAAAAAAGAGACCCACTAAAATTACCAATCAAAATTTGGAACGAAAATTAGTTATCAATAAAATCAGGTAATAATTAAAAATATTATAATAAAAAAAAGGTTATATCCATGAATCATCATAATTCATTACTATCAATCAAGAATAAAAGCACCATTTTATGATTATGATCTTTTTATCATTCATGCGAGAGATTCGTATGTTTGAGAGTTACAATAATTAAAAAAAAAAAATCCAGGTGGAGACTGGACTGGAGGGACATCTTTTTCTTTCTGTTATCGTCTGTGGAAAAGCTCCGAATACTTTGTCACGGTTATATACGAGGACACTGGCCATTAATTTTATAAAATTTGGGCAAATTTTTATAACATTTAGAAAATACTTATTCTGACCAAGTAAAAGCAAAAATCATTAAATTTTAATGAATATTTGACATGCTGGATGATTTTTATGAATCAAATTTAGCTGCAGTCTTGTTTTACCAAAAAAAAAAAAAAAAAGCAGGAAAAGGCAAATACACAGTCTCACATTTTTCATTTTGTAGGTGCAAGTTTATATAGCATTTATATATAGAATATATGTTGTACACATTAAACAATTTATCCAATATCATTATTATTTTTTATCTTTTCCACATCAGTTTGACCTGCAATGAGAGATAGACCAAAAATCTTAGTGCAATGTACAAACTATTGCGCGAATTGTTTGACTATAACATTTTTCGATATAAAATGAAAGTTCACGAAAGCTCTTGAGATGAATGAGTCGAATTAAGTGCAAGAGGAATGCTGGTAAGACTCTTTCAAACCCTGCTTGTTTCCTCATTGGTAAAACCCATAGTTCTTGGCATTGAGTATGATACTCCTCATTCCACCGATTGGTGCTAGAGTCATGAGTAGGAAGCCAAGGATGATGCAAATCTGAAAGCAGGAAAGCCAAATAGGTAAACAAATTTTCAACTCAATATGCAGGAACAAGCATATATATAGTGCACTTGAACTTACCCAGTTGGTGATCCAGGATAAGCTGAACATTCTAGGTTTGTAAATAGCAAGCCAAATAATGCAGGGGAGCTACAGAATTATATCAGACACATAAAAATGTAATTCTTTTTGCAGATAATCATGATGATATGATACATCAAAAGAGGTTTTGAGGGGCTTACAAAGTAGGTTGTTGGAGCAAATGCAAACCCTCCAAAAAATCCGAGGAGGGAACCAAAGAAAGGGAAAGTAATGGCCACAAACATTGTAAATGCTGGATCCAAGTGGTTAACAATAATGAGAAACAAAGAAAGTAGAGGAAGAAAGATAGAAGAGAAAAGAGGGTGATTCATGTGCTCACCAACATAAACATTGCGCTCCACAAATCGCAGCCACCAGCTTGGCTTGAAATGCAGTTGTTTAACCATCAGTGTCTCAATCATGTCAAAAACTGGCATTGCATATAGCTGAATGCATGTGAAAGAAAGAAAGAAAGAGCCCAATTAAAAATGAGAAAAGAATTGAGGTTGATTCTATGATTGGAGTGAAAATGAAAGTGATGAGTTGTTGTTGCAGACCTGGTAGCTTCCAATGACATGAATGACAACAAACATGTTAGCAGTTACAATGAGCCAGGTGGGTTTGTTGAGGGAGATGAGAATGTTGTCTTCAACAGTGTTGCCAAAGACCCAATAGCCAATGAGAGCAACAGGGAAGTAGCAGAGGGCAACAACTAAGTATGCCATCAAAACTCCCCTCCACATGGGACCCTTTGAGGGCTTCTCTGGGGAGGAAGGGATGGTTGCTTGAATCTCCAACACCACATTGTGTCCAGCATAGGCAAAAGCAACATCACCTAAGGCATTCAGAAAATTGAAAACTGTTCCTGCAGAAGTCTTCGCCTTGTACCCATACTCAACTTCTTTGTGAGGATTATTAACATGCTTTTCCACCGAAGCCACCCATGCAATCGTTGAGTAACTGCACACACCATTCCAATTTCACAACTAAATCTTTTTCTCATCTCTCCCGCTTACCAAAAAAAACAAATAACCTCACTATAATAAAATTAATGTTTCATTAAAAGTTAATCACAAATATTTGAGTTTAAACATGCATAATCATGAAAATATTTTTATACCTTTCATCAATCACAAACAATTAAAATTTAATATATCAGTTGATAGTTATTATATAAAATCAAACACTTATCACATCACAACTTGAAATTAAATGATAATACAAGCGATTTTTAATTTGTTAGTATTTATATGATTTATTCAGAAAATTTGATATTTCAAATTGTAGCAAAACAAAAGATATTTTGGGGAATATTTATTTTCGGTTATCTACTCCAATCAAAGTGGTTGCCATATTTAGTTCTTATAAAATGCCTTATATTTCATATGAAATATTTATTTTTCTTCATCTCATTTTACATTTTTTTTTCAAATTTATTTTCATGAAATGTCACCCCATTAACTAATTAAAAACTATTTTAATATATTATCATAGCTAGTATGAAAAGCGCGGAATCTTCATTATATTAAATTATTTTTTTGTGAAAATTTACTGTCCTGATTTTCTTTAAGTAATTTTGGTCCATTAATTTTTTATGCAATTTCAATCCTTAATATTTCAGTATCAGTAGGAAAAAAATGATTTAAATAAACATAAAAAAAATTATTTTAGTTGTATAATCAAATGTTTCAAAAATAAAAATAAGAATTTAAAATTTTGGAAAAAGAAAGTTACGGATCAAAGCTGATTTTGTGAAATATGTAGATAAAAATTGCAATTAAATATTCAATTTTATTTATCTTTTAATAAAAAAAGGTATATAATACATGGTGAATACGTAAACAGCAAGGCGTTTGGAAGTATTATTGGAAAATAAATGAAAAAGACAGAAATAAATAAGAGATGGTTGGTTTAGTTGGCTTGTTGACTTGAGTTGTTGACTAATCGGAATGAGAAGGAAAATTACCTGAGAGACATGACTGCTGCAGCCAAAGAGATGCCAGAGATGGCATTGAAGTTGGGAAGGTGAGAGAGAACAAAATGAACAGAGCTAAAAATGATGATGAAGTGAGTGGTCTTCATGTTAGTGCAGTTTTTTTTACACACAAGGTCATGAATTTTCTGCAGTGATTTTCCTCCAGTGACCATGTACACAATGTCAACACTAATTTCACATATCAGTTGCTGAGGCACCACAATCCACAGTCCCAGCTTCTCCCCAAAGGCATGCTGCCCCAACTCATGGTATCTGTCAAACCTTTTCCCAGCCACCATCTCATGCATCTCAACCATTTGCCACAGTGTGTACAGAGTGATTATCCATGACAGTACAAGAATCACCACACCAGGACCCCTGTAACACCAGATTCAAAAAAATTTAATATTGCACAAACCCTATCAGGTCCAACTTCTCCAAAAAGCACTTATTTTTATGGTTATGGCTATTTTGTCGTTTTATTTTTGCTTAAAGAAGAAAGCTTTTATATCCTACCATATGTTTTATCTTTGTTGTAGGACCAGTTTTTGTTTCTTTTAGTTCATAGAGCAAAAGGCAAAAGAGATTCACTTTTCCAACCCCTTTGCGGTATTTCTTCACTGATAATTTGTAAAATGAGAAAACAAAAGAAAAAAGAAAAGTTCTTTGAAGCTGGTGTATGGAACAACAGTATAACATACATACCATCCAAGACTTGCCATGGCAGAAGGAAGGCTGAGAACTCCAGCTCCTACCATGGCAGTGACGTTGTGAAAAGCTGAGTACCACCATTTTGCGTTCCTTGAAGAAGTTATGGGAAGCCAATCATCAATTGCCTTCTGCTCCGCAGTTCTCTTATCAATCTGTGAAGTTAACAACCCAAAAACATCACACACAACAAATTCCACAATCAAAAGTCCAAAGTTACAACATATATGCTTTGTGAGTTTACCTCTGGTTCTGATGAGAAAGCAAACTTTTCAGTAGTTGGAGTCTCAGTTCCCATGGTGGTGAAGAGTATGCAGTTTGGTCAATGGTGTTAGGACAAGGTAACTAGAGGAGGTGAATTAGGAAGTTTTGTTGATGAAGGAAGAAAAGCATAGCATTATAGGGTTACTTGTGAAAGAGACTCTCAAGAGAAGTCCGTCCTAGTGTTGACAGATGAGTATGACAGAAGGCGGCAATTTGTTTGACACGATAACTACAAACGCGTATGTAGAAATCCATAGACCTCACATCAATGTCCATCACTCACTCACCAATTCTTCATGCTCAATGGACCGGTAATAAAGTAATTCTTTATTATGTCAGTAAAAATTCTATAAATATATGTATAAGTATTTAATATAAAATATCTTAATTAATAGAAGATCATTGTCCAAAATATTATATATATATATATATATATATATATATATATATATATATATTATGTAAATAAATAAAAGATGTTTAAATATATCCTCCAATAATGTCATATGCTTTCCACCACAATTAATTTCATCACACCAATCAAATCAAAGATAAGAAAATAGGATAAATTAGTAATTATTATTCTTCCAAGGTTCATGATTCTCTCAGGGTCTTTTTGATTAAGAATTTCTCGGCCGAGATCAAATACCTATGACAACATTCTTAGACTATCCATTGAGGTGAAGGGATATGTCCCCGATTTTTATAATTTAAATATATATTTATAATTTTAGTTTTAAAATTTAATTAATATTAAATATATTTATAATTTTGGTTATTTATTTATTTATATATATTAAATTAATTTATTAAAAATATTAAATAACAAAATATTTTAAATTATTTTACTTTTCAATTTTACTTATTTATTATTTCCTAATAATATATTATTTATCTTTTTCTCACCAAATCATTTTTTATCATATATCATTAAATTAGAATATACATTATATAATAAATATGTAATCACTAAATAATATAGTTTTAAACTCAATATTAATATTTATATATTATGTTAAAACTAATATTACATAAAATATTTAATAATAACTCCATTTATCTTAGCCTAACTCTCTCGTGATCTTGATGCAAGTTATTAATAATTACATTATCAGTTATTTATCACATAATATCTTAGTCACTTTAACTAAATTATTAAAAGAACTTGAGATCTAATTGAATCCCCATAAATATAATTGTCACACTAACACACCCTAAATATCTATCATTATTTTTGGACCATTATTCTTAGGTTCACTTATCTTACACTAATATATATTTCTAACTCATTTATACATAATATTTTATGCTCGACTTACCTCACTCAAGTATTCATTATAGTCGATTATAGATAACAATCTCTGACTCAACTCAGCCTCACAATATTCTATGATCTTACATTTCATTCAATAAGGTATTTTGCTTGAGCAACAAGTAAAATACTTCTAACATTTAACCTAAATGATTATATCTCTTCTTCACTTGAACAAACTAATATTACCTTACCGACAAAGATACTTGACTAAAATCCATCATTATTGCTTGAATGAAAATATTTAGAATAAGTTATTCATTTTGTTTTTTCTTCGCTTGAGTTACACTATAGTCACATAAGTGAGTAACACACAAAATTGTTTTTCATTTCATTTATTTCACTTGAACAATTGTTACTTGAACGATATATAAGCTAAGAAACTTTTCTATTCTTTATACATTTTTGTTTTAGCAACATAATTCTCCTTTGAATTAATAATCACCGAAAGACTTTTTGGTTTTAGCGATAATTCGTCACTTAAAAGAATAATTACCGTTTAATCTATTTCTTTCATCGATTGATCTATCTCTTAAACAATCTACATTCTAATTAAAGAAAAATGATCAAAATAAAGAAGTTTCTCCTAATTTCAAAAATTTTCCAATCATAATACTTAATAACACAAACTATTCATTCTACAATTATACCTTAAAACTCAAAGTGGGTTTTTCATTTTACCAACACTTAACCACCATCCCATATAACCAACATAATAAAAATTACTAACTAGTTTCCTTCAAATAAAAATAACTTATCATTTATCATAATAAAAATTACTAACTAGTTTCCTTCAAATAAAAATAACTTATCATTTATCATACTACTTCTCAATGTATAATTAAATCCCTCATTTCTTCAATTTCCTTATCTCCTTGTCTAAATTCCAATAAAAATTCAGTACTCAATTCTGAGAGAAAATCCATAAATTTTCTTTTTTATCGAAATAAAAGATTCTTTTAGCTCTTTATTTCTCATTAAAATAAGTACAAATTTTAAAAGGTTATATGACAAAAAAAAACTGTTTTTTTTTTTAAATTGTTTCCGCTTATCACTTATAAATTGCTTGCAGTTTCTTTATATTCGAAAAAAACTGTCAAATTTTAAAATGAAGATGTTTTTAACCCGCACAATCTCCACAGTGGATGGTGTAACCATTTTGTTTTCACCTTTTTATCGAATTAATAATCATCAGAAAACCTCTAAATATTGTTTATTTCAATTCTGTAGTTGCATTAAAGCATCTGAATTTAGTGAACTTATTTGACAACAGACAAAAATGAATACATAAAAATAAGAATTTGTAGATTCTTTTTCGGCTCTTTCGATAACAAACGAGGACTCCACCTGTCCCATGTTATTGCCTTGGAATTGAAGTAGTAAACATTGTGATATGATTAGTGTTCCTTGTGCAGCTGGCCACACCCAAGTTTACTAGTTTTAAATTGAGGTATTGTGAGTTTGATGTTATCATTTTTTTTCTCTTTACTAAAAGGAGAGGTAATTCATAGATTTGTTTCAATATTTATTTTGTAAAATTTAATCTGATTTGATTATTCATGAATTCGTCAATTAAACGGTGGATTCATCTAAATTAAAATAATTATTTTTAGGATAAAATAATTAAGAATTAAAGATTACATAATACATATTGAATTATAAAGAATTCAAACTATTTTTGCATTTATTCTTTAAAAATTAAATTACTCTAGTTATTGAATTTATTATTAGAAAATTAATAATTGTATTGAAATTTTAAATATTAAATTGTTAAAGCAAAATCACACTAACTCTATTATTCATTTGGTTAAAGTAAAAAGTAACATTTAGTTTTTTTTTTTACTATTATATTATATATTTTTTATTTTGATTGGAAAAGACTTTTTTATATCAGTCGTAATTTTTATATAAATAACATAAAAAATTATTTTTTATATTTTTTTAAAAAAATCAACTTTAAAATAATTTTTTATATCAATTTATCAAATTGTAATAAAACGGATAATAAATGATTTTGCTCAAACACATTTTATGAGTGTGGTTATTTTAAATGTCATAATACAATTATGACGGTTACAATATCAACAAAAAAAATATAATTTTTTAAATAATTTAAATAATAATAAAAATAGAAAGTAACATTTTTAATAATGATTAAAATAAACATTGATACAAAAAGTAATAGTTTTTTTTAACATATTTTTATCTTTTTATTCTTTAAAAAAACATTTTTAACCAAAATAACATTATTATGCTATTTACTAAAAATGCAATTATCTAATATCAAAATAATATAATTAATAATCGTATTTTTATGATAAGTAAATTTATTTTCATTTTAATTTTATTTATTAACCATAGATTGTTTCAAGGTTTGTACTTTAACTTGAATCTCTTATGGTTTCAACTTTGACTAAGAAGGTCTCCAATATTTCTTTAGTCTTTTCAAGTAGGTGGAGAGAAAAAAGAGGAATAACTAAAAAAACTTTTCAATACTTAAGTTAATATGAAAAATAACGAGTAAAAGGAAATATGTTCTTCTTTTTTAGATTTTATGTTTCTTTCTTTGTTAGTAAGAATCCGTAAATGTATTTATGTATTTCTATTAGTTGAAGTATGACTTGGAGATCAGTTAGGTTTCTCTAAATGAGTCTCAGCATGGTGGGTTATTTTTTGTATGTATCCAGTCTTTTAAGAATTTTAAGACTAATTTTTTTGGGGTTAATTGTAACCACGATGATCAATCCGAAATCTTTATTTTATCACCTGGACAACTTTATGTTTTCCACTTTACTACAATACTCTTGTGAAGTTTAAGTCTTGAGCTGGCCATTTATTGTCTATTCAGGATAAGTTGATCACATGCGTTCTTATTTATTTACCATATCTAATTAGTTGTAAAGATTTGTTGCCCATCCCGATCAAGTAACCCAATTTAGTGGTAAGAATTGCTTGGTGAAAATTTTATTTAAATATCTTATGTTTGTTTCTTATGTTATATATTTTCTTTTGTAGAAGTGATGGGGAGTTCCTTTGATTATATGAAAATTTGCCTAAAACATGGTGTTGCTCCTTTGGAAGTCATGGTTGAACTTAGAGGTGTTAAAGGGAAAACAAGTAAACACACTTAAAGATCGGACAAGAAAACAAAAACTAGTGTTATTGTTACTACTACTTCTTCTACTCCTCATTCTGATGTATCTCTTATTATTAACTTATGGTAATGAGCAAGTTCGGGAGTCGACTATCATTGAGGTTCCTTCACCTCTTATTATTGTTCCTCCACCTTCCATTTTGAATCTTCTGATGAAGGATTCATTACTATTGCGAAGAGATGTTCCACTCAATCGGGTTGACCATGTATCAATGAGTACCTAAGGAGTGAACATATTGTGGCATGTAAAGCTTTCTACCAATAATGTAAAGATGGACAGTGAATTTCTTACCTCATTTGATCAAAATTTGTTAAAGATCGTTGGACATTATGGTTGTTTGGATTCGGCCGAAGTAATGGCCACAAGGATCATGGCTATATGATATTAGTGAAAAGGTCTACTGAAGGATAATCACGAAGGAGGGGTCAAAGTTGTCGAGTTAGAGCAACAAAGGGCTTTCTGACAAAAGAAAATTGGACGATAATGCAAGTGTGTTATCGAGTAAATAGAATACCAAACTTATTGATCATGTGTTGATATACATAATGAGCTTTGAAAGAAATTGAG